TAACAATTGAATGCCTTTTCTAAATTCTTTTCAATTTCCCATCCATTTTGGTAACGTTTAGCTAAATCATATTGTGCGACATTATTTTCTGTTATTAATTAAAATAATAATTTAATTTGACATAATTATGTAAAACATGCAGTTAATATTCTAATATAACTAACCATCTGTTGAATTGAATAATTTGTTAAACAAATTTAGAAATTTATTTTATTTAGATTAACATAAAAAAAATTACAGTTGAGGAATGTATAATAAATATAATCATATTATTATAACAACTTAAAAGTAAATAACTTACCATCTGTAATATCGACTTTGATAAAGATTAAATAAAAAATCAATTCAATGTAATAACAATAAAATAATTAATTTTCACTATCGTCCGTGATACAATAAAAAATAACTTACGACCTGTAATGAAAATTTTAGTTTAATTTTATTTCACATGTATTTAATATAATACTAAACGTCCAACTTACAATTTTCATTTTCCATGGTTATAAATTTTAAGAGAAATACTGACAGTAAAAAAAATTATTTCAAGAAATAATTAAATGATTTTCCTATTATTGATTATGCATGCACCTCAGCCACAGATTCATATTTACATGACGGTGTACTTACAGTACATAAGCGAGATCCTTATTAGAAGGAAAGTCTGTAAATCATACGTAAATTTAAATCTAAAAATCCTTAACCGGTTCCAACCTATAAGTTTAATTGGTGTATAAAATTATGATGATTTAAAAAAGTATATACGGTAATCAATGAGACTTATGATTATTCATTGCGAGTGTGAAAAGGATAATTGTGTGCATGGTCTTTGTTTTGTTGAACCACAAAATTGATGATTTTTCATCAACTTTTTGCCAATGGAATTTCTTTGCGACAAAATTGTCATTTTATTGAAAATAATCCTTCAATTTTTAATAATCATCATTTTATTAATATTACGCATAGAAAAAAAAGAAAAAAAAGTATTGTTATTTTGATGATGATTAATAATCAAGGTCACATATCGGTTATATTTATTTTATTATGCTCATACAATTAATTATAAAAAAATAAATAAATAAAAAAATAAATAAATAAATAAATAAATAAATAAATAATAAACTTAGGATAAATTATCTGAACTATACTTTGCGTTTGTTGGATTTCCATTGTTCGATTTCCGACAAAAAAGCCCTACCATTTTTTTTTAACTCAGGATAATGCAAATTTTGGACTTCTTTAGATAATTGATATAAAACAGGATTACTAGTACACCAATAGTGTTTTGTGAAAGTATCACTATAAATATTGTATCATCATAAGGAAGATTGTAGTACTGCGGCTACAAACGCTTATTTAATAATTGTGCATCTATTATTCCTATATTCAGCCCGGATTGTCCTTATGCGCGTTTCTTTGAAGAAGAATCCAGTTTCACATATTTTTTTTACAAGGCTTGGCAAATTGTAGCTTTTCAAAGAGCTTTCACTTTGTACTGATTATATAATATTTTAGAAACCGGTACGGTATCTAAATTAATATATAATTTTGAAAATGAAATTTAGAATACTTATAATTTTTTATATCTAAACTTGAGGTAATTATATAGAATACATTTTAAAAATTCGAAACTAGAGTAAAGGACCATTCATCATGATTAGGTATGAACATGTACATATGGGACCTTTGCAATAGAAAGGGGAAACTGCCGGAAAAAATAAAAAAAGTGAGTTAATGCTAAATTTGAGCATATTTTAGCTTAAAAATTTATTTGGTATATAAAAGTAAATTGATTTTTTTCCCGGTTGTATCACCTTTTCTATCGCAAAGATCCCATATATTGTCATCTAACAGTTTAAAGAATGAAAATAAATACATAAAACTAAATCAGCTTCAAACATTCATATTCCGAATTGAATTGAAAGTATTGTCAACTTATTATAGTAGAAGCAACTCATATTCATTAAAATAATTATAGAATAAAAATAAAATTTTAAGTGAATGAAATTTTTTTTTAAAATTACTGCGCCTTTGTGCGGAAACTCAAGTATGTTACATGTTATCACATGCACGTGTCAATAACCTACACACATACAGTTTAATGTTTTCACTTTCTTATCAATCCAATAACGGGAATCAATCGTTAAATATAAATCTAGAAATATAATTTACTACTTCATGTCATGCGTCATAAATTGTTTATACAGATCAGTTCCAAACCTTTCTTGTAAATATTTCAAACTATGGAGTTAATGGATGTGGCATTTTTTCTCCTGCATTTTCCATTTAAAAAAACTTACACACAGTAATACCCTTTTATATTGTGAATTTATGGATAACAATGTACAATGGAAACTGTAATGGACATTTTGGAAAAGTGTCTATTGTCCATTGTATGGTTATATCCATTGCCTACACTACTGTACGATATACACTTTTGTTTTGAAGTTTTCCCACAAAGTAATATAAAGAAAATCTACTAAAGTTGAAATTCGAGCTATATTATTACAAATATAAATTAGAGCTTTGATTTATCTAGACGGACTGGAATAGACCGGAATAGGCATGAAATACATTAAATCTGTAAATCATGGTGTTATTAAAAGTTTATTTGCGATTTTAACTCAAACGGACTTCCAATTTGCTCGATAAACTTTTCCAAAGTTTCTATAACATATTATAAAATGTTTGTATTTGATAAGTTTTATTAGAGATTGTATTGTAAATAAACCCACTCATTCGAATTATTGATATCTTGCATTTTGATTTTTTTAATTTGTTTATTGCGAAATGATAAAAAAAAAAAAAAGCAAAAAAACAATGTGCCAAAGTTAGTCGCTGCGGCTCTGACTCTATATTGCGTCTTTTAATGAAAGTAAATTCTCAATGATGACAGCATTTTCACAACTGTAGTAATTAGTTAATCTTTCAATTAGATTTATTATTTGTAGATAGATAAGAATTTCTTTACGAGGTTAATAATTCGAAGTTATTATTGTTAAGCCTCATATTATCATGAAAATCTTTTTTTAATTTAATTAGATGGTTTTCAGCAGTTTTCTGAATCACATTAATCTTGATTCTCTACAAAATATGTTAGTTTGATCGAGGATTCTTTAATTCTTGTATTCTTTAAATATACAGTAAATATTTTTTACTTGCTATGGTACCTAATATAGGATAAAAATGAAATGATGGTAAAGTTTTCTATTTTCGATTGTAGTTTGGATGCATAAGTTAGTTACTATTTTAGATAAAAAAATTTCGGATTTATGTTACTTCGCGAACAGGTTAGCTCGATTTGATATATTAGAGAATAGATCTAAAGGATTTTGTTAAAAGTAAATAAATTCATTATCCGGGTCAATAATTATTTTACTTAATAATTATAACTTATGATGAGTATTTCGTAGTGGAATAATGCGTTAGATTTCTTGGCTAGCGATTCTCGGGTACGGCTCGCATAACGTGCAAAAGATTGGGCGTTTGTTAACGAGTTTCTATATTGAAGTATATAGTTTCCGAAGCAAGAAGTTAAATAGCATTCAATTTTAACTCAAATTTTATTTTAATATTACTATGATGTCATTCAGTATTTATTTGAATATTCGGAATTTATAAAATAATTGATGAACTATTATTTTCATAAATATGCAACCTGGGAGAGAGATCCTGCAGAGGCTAGTATATATCTTAACAAAACTTATAAATCTTTTAAAAAGTTTAGTTTCTTATATTCACGTGACCCCCACGATAGACAATTTTTTTTTTTTTAACAAAAAAAATTCTCGAAATGTTTAAAAATAAAAATTTGTCTTTCCTTTAAAGAAAATAAATAAAAAATCATTTTATTATTTTATATAAATATATGTCTTTTGAAAACGCACTATTTCATTAATAAATTTTTATTTTTTTGACCATTTGTGTGAATAACGTTCGCTAGTTTTAACTATTCGAACGTTAATTAACGTTCTTGTCGACAGCTTTATGTATTTAAAGCTTAGTTTGTAATTTTTTTTAGTAATCTTCTCACAATTATTACGAGGATTTGGATCATCACTGTGAACTTTCCACTTTGGTTCTTTCTTTGCAGAACATGGATTCCTCATCTTTATAAAATTATTCAAGACAAAAAATTATAATTCATTAATATATAAGACAATTAATAAATTCTGTTCTATTCATTTTTAACAGAATCAATTTAATGGTAGTATATTTTATTTTATCGATTTCAATAAGAAGGTAAAAACATGTGATAATAAATAGATTATCATTTAGAACCTTAATAAAAACTTTATAAAATACGAAATAATTAAGTGAATATTGAAAAAGACTATATTACTCAAATAATTAAATTATTGTTAAAAAAGATATAAAAATCAAAAATTAAATGGATGTGCCGCTCTACGGACACGGATACACACTCCAACCATCTTCAATACCATGGAAATGCCAACATTGATTTCCATTATTGGTGAATGGGCCGCGCCATTTATAGTCTTCAGTAGACCATTCCACTCCGAAAACGAGCCAATATGTTTGTATTGTATCAGAAATATTCAAATAATATCCATCGTGAGAAGTTTTACAAACTTCGTCGATTGCGTCGTTTAGTTCATTAAAACTAAATTTGTCACCTTCATTTTCATGGGTGGCAGCAGCACAAGTAATTGTGCCACTTAATGCCCTGTTCTGTATCCATACTAAGTGACCTGCATATTTGATTCCATCCAACAAATATGTTATTAAATATTTAAATATTTTGTCATATTTATTAAAATTTACCTTCAATGAGCGTAAGAATAAATAGGCCAAAGATGAATGCGATGGTTATGGAAAATTTCATGACGAATAATTTTTTTTTACGAGTAGTAAATATGTTTTGATGAAACTTTGATTCGGTTCCTGTGTTTATATGTGTATATATATATATCGAAAATTTATTAATTTCACATTCTGTTATGAAATGATTTTAAAATATTCGAAATTCGAAAATATTAATAAATATTTATTTGCAAACTAAATATCTGAATATCCTATTGTCATAACATATGAGTGGTGTGCAATTAAAATTGAAGGTACGGATCATATGATATGATTTACTATGATAGCATACCACCCATATGGTGATCGGCTATTAAAAATCACCTATGATTATTCAAAAATGTCGAAATTATCCCTCTAGATAATTAATATTCAAATTCTAAGAAGTCTTCTGAATAATTATTAAGTGAATAATATGAATCTATATAAGTTTGTGATATCCATTATAAAAACTTGAGAATCGATAAATCACAACAAATCTTCGATCCAATGATTCGATTTTCGATTTTCGACTTTTGAAAGTGTCACCCTCGGGTTTGACTACCCCTGCGTACCCATCATAAAATGTCACGAAATGGGCCGACATTAAGGATCGACAACATGGCATGATCATGCATATGGGCCGACGTAACATTTTTTGATGGGTACGCAGGGGTAGTCTCGGGTTTTGACTGTGCCAAAATTGGATCGCCGCGGCTATGACGATCAATATATGACAATTCTGTTGGAATTGACATTATGTATATCAAAATGACATCAGAGATCAAATATATTGGCATATCCATCATCCAAGCTGAAAGTATGAAGAGTGCCGTAGCAAATCCATGGAAAGGAAATATTTTGTATAAAATAGCTTCGTTTTGTACTTAGTTAACGATAGGATTTGAATCTTAATTGAATAGATAGTGCGTAATAGTGCATTTACTGAATTCATTTGACATTTTATATAGCTGTTGTAGCCCTAACGTCGCCATGTCCCAAGTTAAACTTGGGAAATCCCAAATCGGAATTCCTAATTCGGACTTCTCAAACTGCAATTTCTGATGATCATGTCCCAAACTTGATTATGTTTCAAGGAATATCCCAAATCGGATCTGGGATATAGTCAAGTTTGGGTGTCCGATACCCCAAACTTGACCGTGTTCCAAACTAACCCAGTTAGTTTGGTTTATGGTCAAGTTTGAAACATATTATATCAAACACAACCGTATCCCAAATTGACCTAGGTAGATTTGGAACATGGTCAGATTTGAAGAATCGAATGTCCCAAACTTGACCATATCTCAAATTGACCTAGGTAGATTTGGAACATGGTCAGGTTTGGAGAATCGAATGTCCCAAACTTGACCATATCTCAAATTGACCTAGGTAGATTTGAAACATGTTCTGGTTTGGTCTTGTATGTCCCAAACTCGACCATGTTCTAAATTGATTTGGGATATGGTCAGGTTTGGGGTATTAAATGTCCCAAACTTAACCATACCCCAGATTCAATTTGGGATATCCCAAGTTAGATTTGGGACAAGATCATCCAAAATCGAAATTCCAGTTTGGGAAGTCCGAAATAGGAATTCCGATTTGGGATATCCCAAGTTTAACTTGGGACAAGGTGACGTTTGGGCTGCAACATCCCGATCCCGAACTAGATGCATAGAACTTCGTTCATTCGTAACAGTGTAAAATGGTTATGAATAAAAGATAAGGAATCATTTTGCACTTTTTGATGATTTTGCGCATCCAAATGCATATAATTTAATGATTTGAAGTTGAAAGTAATTCGTGCTTTAATTTTTTTTTAATGGCAGAAAACATAACAGTTACCTGTAATTATCTTTCAGATGTTTGCTACGCATGTCAAAAATGTTTATATTATTTTAGTTTTTTACAAAAAGATTAATGTAATGCAAAAAAAGTAAAAAACCCTCAAGAGTTAAAAATCCACTATCTGAACAACAAATTCAATCCTCAAATAAATTTTTTGTTTGATGCTAATAATAAATATAATTATAACAGCAATTTTGAAGAACCTTTTTCTTATACTTTTTGTGGTGCTTGTAACAGTAAAATTCAATGTTTAAGGAATAAAGATAAAGAAATTTTAGTAGATGATGATGATGATAAATTGGTGTATCAGATTCTACATTAAAAGAATTAGAAGATGATCTATCTTCTTCTGATCTATTTTCTGAGGATAATTTATTTTTTTTTGAAGAAGAAAATATTGAAGAAATTAAAGAGCAAATTATTGTAAAAATTAAAGATATAAAACTACCTACAGCAAAATATTATAAATTAGAAGATTATATTATATCATATAAAGCAACTAATGCGTAAGAAACTTCAAATGATCTTGAAAATGAGTTAGATTTTCAAGAATTTATTGATGATTATAAAAAGGTGATTTCTACTAATAAAAGAATATCAGTAATAATAAGTTTAAAAAATTATCAAACAAAAAAAAATAATAAGTATAAAAAGGTAATCTTTTTTTAAAAAAATTTATATTATAAAATAAAAATTTTAAATTTAAAATTTAAAATTTAATTTTTTTTTATATATTAGATGAAAGTGAAATATCTTCTATTAAAATACAAAGTAGAAAAAAGAAATCTCATATTATTAGAAAAGAAAATTTATTAAGAAAAGAACTTAAGCTGATATTATTGCAACTTTATGTGAAAAATATAAATGTAATACACATACTATATCATATTTTATTCAAGATGAATAGTATCTTCAATTAATTTTACTAGATTACAACTTTAGGCTCATGAAATCGTAATTATCAAAATAAATTAGTTAATTTTAAAATTTATATAAATAAATTTATAATTAATTTATTTAGATAAATAAAGAAACTACTTATAAAATTCTTCTATCTTTACCAACATTTGATATATAATTAGGAATAACTATCAATAAAATAATTTGATTACACAAGCATAAATACCTACTATATTTATTATTCAATTACCATCACAATTTACTAAAATTCTTCTTTTTAAAAACAGATTATACCACATACCACATACTATAAAGTTTTGAAAATAAGCATTTACTAAATTCAATATTAATCAAAAATAAGCACCCTCCTGAAAACTGATAAAAATATTAGATTTAAATATATCTTATAAGTTTTATTATTTTAAAAGAAAATAAAATATTTATTAAATTGAATTATAAATTAATTATAGTATATAAATATAAAATAATTAGAAAATTAAAAGGAATTGTAAATTAACTATTAATAATCCTTATCATTATCACTAGTATATTAAAATCAAAGACTTCTAATTAATTCTTACTAACTAATATAATTGATATATTGTATATTATAAATAAATTAATAATAGTTTCATTATATATATTTTCTCAATAACATTTTATCAATTACAAACGTTATTATACTTAGCGTGTTTAAGATTTTTTGCAGCAGTTTTTACAGCATCATTATCTGTTATTTACAAATACTATCTCTTATGAAGGATATCCTTAAAGGGTTTATTTATGACAATATCAAATAGCTAGCAAATAGAAGTCAATTCATTTAGAATAACTGTTAAATCAACACTGCTATCGTAAACTTTGCCTTAATAGATTCATATAAGTGTCTTCTGAAAGAATCATAAATGAATATTATTGGAGTTCAGATCAATCATTATTAAATTAACAATATATTTTATTATTAATTTAGCATCTATCTAGGTATTATTCTGAAGCTGAAATTCTACTCAAAGGTGGTACTTATTCATTACAATTCATTTTTTTCTTTAAAGATACATATTAGTAATTGATTAATTCTATTTATATAATAGAAAAAATTTTTAAAAAAAATAGGAATAGTTAATGATAAGTTTGTATTATAGAATTACTAAAAATAGCTCTTACCAATAGCATAAGTCTTTGACTTGAGATTTATTTATCAAGTCTGATCCTAAATAAAAATTGGAACTGTATCTTGAATAGCTACCTGAATATCTGTATAATTTTTGAAATTAGGTATCTGAATAAATTCAGATTATTTATACTATAGTGTTTGAAACTAGATTAGTTATTAAACAGGATTAAATTTTAATTTTTTATATTAAAAAATCTTTTAAAAAATTATTTATTTATTTATTATAAATCGTAATTGATCTTTTTTATTTAAATATTTAATTTAATTAATAAAATTTAATGTATTACTAAAATATATGAATTGTAATTTGAATTTCTTTTCAAAAATACCATTTTACCTATCAGTTTTGAATTTAAACAAATACACTTAGCAGCAATATGATTATTCGTATCAGAAAATAACCTTTACTAAGTACTGAAAAACCAGAAATTGATAAATATTTTCTGACCAATTTAGCTATATTAGGAAATTGAGTTTTCCAAAATGCTTACCATTCAAAAGGATCCATATTATTATTAGCAATTGGAGTAAAATAGGATCTAAATAACAGAAAAAGGATTTGCTATTTTTGCTTTTATACAAAAAATAGCAGAATGCAATTGACTATGATATGAATTATATTAATATTGAATTAAACTACCAGATGATGATTATTGTATTGAATTTAAATCAATTAATTCTTTAAATTAGACATTAACTAAGTTTTTGTCTTATTGCATATTTCATCATACTTATTAGAGAGTGTTTTATGAATTTAAAAAAAAATGCTAAAAAACTAATCATTATAGGTTCATTCCAATAAGTAAATAAGGAATTATATATAGTTCATTTTATTATTTTAAGAATATTTTGTACAGATTGAATAGTTGCTACTGCTGTTTTAGATTGGGTTTGGTAATGAATAATATTGATTATTTTGGATTATCAAGCTCTAAGTTATCTTTATCATTACTATTATTTGTTTATCTAATTCTTCATGTTGAAAATTCCAAACATCTATAAAATATGTTATAGTTAACAAATAATATAAATTCAAATGTTATAAAATAATGATAAATTTACTTTATTCTATTTCTAAATTATTAAAATATTTTTTAGAAGATTTATATGCATATTTAAATTTA